GAAGTCAAGTTCGATAGACAACGTTTCTCATCATGATGCTCTGTGAGCAAGAGTGACTGTAACTGTATTATTGTGCCTGATCAATATCTCTCCTGTTCACTGCGCAGGGGCCTGAGGAGAGCTGTGCAGTGGGTGGTTATTTACCGATAAAAGGCGGGAAAACACCCATCTGACAGCCACCGAACCATGGTGGCCGGCGGTATGGTGGCCGTTTTCTGAACCCCCAATTGATTAAATATCAATAAACGGCGGGAAAGTCACCGATAACACACCAGTAGCCCTTCGATGCAACCCTCGCATCGATCCTACTTCTGTTACGATTAAGATTCTTATCTTTCTCTTTCTACCTTATTTCTGATATTAATACAAGAATTTTATAGGAACTTTTTACGCGGACTCGTGTTCATCTATGACTTTACGATGACTTTTTAAAAATCTTTTAATAAACTTCTTTCTGTTCATTTTCAGATTATGGGTATGAGTCTCAGAGACGCTCCCAGAAAAGCGTCGAATTTCGTGTCGCACATCTAATGGCAGGTTAGAGGTTCTTTTTGATGAAAATTTAGAACTCGTTTTTAAAACTGCTTTCTTTAGTTGTGCGACCCTCTTCGTGGATCGCCCGAACCAGCTGAATGGTTGGCACCTGGTGATCCACACAAACCCTTTTCGCGGAAAGGACCACAGGTACTGACAGGTCTTCCTTCATTGCTTTTCAACGTCTCATTCTGACTGTTTCAGATCCACATGGGCGACTGTGGTCCACGTCGTTCGGGAGGGAGCTTCGACAGGACGGGATCGAGTGGCCAACGAAGGTGAGTTTAGTCCGTGTCTGTCTGTGTTATTTGTTTGTCCTTGTCCTTGCATGCCACGTCTTTGTCTGTGTTTGTCCGCGTCAGTCCTTGTCCTTCCCTTTGTATGCATGCGTCCGTCCATGTCCCCGTCTGTCCACTTGTGTCTGTGCCTGCCGTCTGTGTCCTGCCTGTCCGCGTCCACTCTTACGTACTTGTCCAACTGCTTCCCTCTGTCCATCTGTCTGCTAGTGTCCACGTCTGTCTGTCTAACTGGCTGTCTGCGTTCTGTGTACNCTAATCAACCAATGGGAATGGTACAGTGGTTTCATACCCAACCTCAGGCTTAGCGTGGACGAGGAGTTAAAGTGACCGCTTGGGGAAAGGGGAACGGGAGAAGGGAGGGTGTGAGGGTATTATTTTACTTCTCTCCATTTCTCATTTCTCATGAGTCTTCATCACTCCGATCAGGGATGCTTTTTCCTTTTATGATTTTTGTGCAATAATGGTAATTTATGTCCAGAAATTCGAACTCAGACGGGATCCGAACCCGTACTTGCGCAAGCACGGGTTCGAGTCTTGTCTGAGCTGGAAGATCTGCCCATAACTCGCCATTCTTGAGTATCCATCTTTTTGTGTATTCTCGGCTCCTCCGAATCTATTCTCTTTTCTTTCTGCATTCCTTTTGTTCTCTGAGTCATCTCTGTCATTTTTTATTCATGTTCCTTTACCACGTTAGTATAATTTCTGCTCATTTTTACTTTTCACTTTTTTGTTTCTTTATCTTTTCTCATCTCCTGGTAAGCATTCATCGGCGGGTTTTTTTTCGTTCTTTTTCTGTCGATCAGTATTGGAGAGGATTACGAGGGATACGGTGGAAGGAAAGGTGTGAGAATACTGTTCCTTCTGTGTCCATTTCACTTTTCTAATGAGTCTTCGCTCTGACCAGGGTATTTTTCGTTTGGAGTGGTTTTTTGTCATGGTTGTTATCTTGCATTCTGAAACCTATCAAAAATGGCGAGTAATGGGCAAAGTTTCGAGTTCAGACGGGACCCAATTCGTACCTAATACAGCTGCAGGGTTGAGTCCTTTCCGAGTTCAAAGTTTTACCCATAACTGGCCATTCTTGTAGGGTTGTCTTGTTGTATTTTCTCGGCTTACTTTTCTTTTTCTTCCTTTTTTTCTATCTATCTTTCTTTCTTATCCTTTTCCCATTCTTTCCACTTTCCTTCCGTTCTCCACGGAGTATAACCATCGTCCGATCAGTCGA